GTTGCAGCGCAGCTCCTCCGTCGCGGGCGCGCGTACTTCGCGCGCCCAACAACTTAACCACGCGTAGCATGTCCCGCGCCCGCCTGCTGCTCTAGCACCGCGGTCCACGGCAATCCTTCTCGTAGCGAATGTGCTCCAACACCGCGGGTGCTGATCCGTGGCGACCAGAGACGCAATGAATGGTCTGACTCTACGTTCCCACTTCTGCGCGCCAGCGACGCCGCGGCAATCTCTGGTCGCGCAAAATATACGCCCCCTCCGCGCCCGCGCACGGCCAGTCGCAACATAACGGTTTGTCGATCACTTCCGCCTCCTCCTCTGCTTCCCCGGCTCCCCCCAGCAAGCGCGGGTCGTCTTTCTTGTCGCGATGCGCCCAGCTCCTCAAGATGTTCGCGCCCGTCTGCACGCATTGTTTCCCGTCGTCGGTCCCAGGGGCAAACGTGTCCAGATCAGATCTACCCTGAAAATACCAAGACCCCATACCCTCGCCAGTGCGTCAAGGTCCACAATCATATATCGGATGGCCGAAGGGGTTGGCCCGGCGCACGTCCACTTCCCCTCCCAGAGCTGCCGCGGCGGACTCTGAGTGCGAGATCACATCGGTCAAATCTCCAGCGCGCAAAGACCTGCCTTGCGGCGTTGCATCTGACGCCGCCGCCCTCCTTCGCCCAACTCATGTCTCCTTCGCTGCACTCCCCGAGCACTTTCCCCATCGCAACGTCGAGGGCATTGGTCAGACGGGTTGGGGCGACGAAAGCCGCGAGGCCACCGATGGCGGCTACGACCACAAATGGGCTGAAGGCCAACCTTGTAAATCTCGCCTGGTGCGTCGCAGCCCTGGAAGCAGCTGCGCTGCGCGAAAGAACCCCCCCCTTTCTCGCCCGCCAGTCCCTGGTCGGATGGTAGGCAGGGCCCTGGCGCGCGCATCTCTCTCCGCGTCGTGCCCAGCAGCTCTTCTGTAGTAGACGGCCTCCTGGTCGCGGCGAGCCTGCCCTGTCCCACCAGACAAGGCAAGCGGTTCGTCCTCCCATGATGCAGTGCCCATCCTCCCTTCTCGATTGTCCTAGCGAGTCGCTGCGTGTTCTTGTTGGGTATGTCCACTGCCTGTCCTGTCTGCGTCTCCTGAAAGGTCGTCTTCGTTTTCTTCGCGTTGCCCATGACAGCGTTCAGTCGAGGTCATGGGGCCCTACTGTCACTGCGATGGGGCGCGCAGCGTCGTGCAACGCCTGCGCCTCGCCCGGCGACCCCCCCCCCCATGCGCGCGCGCGTTGCAGGCGCCGTTGGGCCGCCGAGGGCAAGGCGTAAACCCCGCCTGCGCACCCTGCGCGGCCATCCCGCGCATCCATCCGCCTGCGCATTGCACGCTGCAAGTAGGGGGATCGATAGCCCCCACCGCGTGCACCTGGTCCGCGTCGCAAGCGTATCTCCGCGCTGGCGCCGCCAGTCAAACGGCGCGTCGCACTGGCGAACACAATCGCACAATTGCAATGGCCATGCGCTGTGCCGACCCCTTCCATGCACATCGTGCCTACAGCGCGCGCGATGGCATTCACCGCGCAGCGATGAGCCAGCCCGCCCCGAGCCCAGGACGGGCGCTCTGGGCGAGGGCATCTTTGTGCAGCCCTGGAACCCAGCCGCTCCCGCGCTTCAGCGCGCGCGCGCAATGCGTTTGCCTGCAGCGCCCACCCTGTCGCCGCGCTTGTCTGCGCGAGACAGCGGGGGGAAGGGGGAGCGATTGTCGTTGGTATCGGCAGGGTGCCAAGCCCTGCTTTCGCTGCTCTGCGGGCGCGGCACGGTCTACTTCCACGCGCGCCCCCGCCCGCTCCGTCGCCCCCCGCCCCCCCGCGGCGCCGCGGCGGCGCTGGCCCGTCGCCCATCGTAAACCCGAACAAGATGTCACCCGCGCTGCGGGGCGCCATGGGCGGCCATGGCGCTGGCCCCGCAGCGCCATAGCGCCGCGGCGCAGCGTCTGTCGACCCTTCTAATACTTGAAAAAGATAGCGTGCCCCTCTAGCTCCTCCTCGCCGCCCCTCGCCTCTGCTGCTCATACGCGCGCTGCTTGCATCTGGCTGCCGAGGGCGCTCGGGTCTTCGAGGTGCACCGCGGGGTCGAGGGCCATGCGAGGCAATTCTACTGGCGACCCCGAGCCCGGGAATGATCTCCTCTTTTTCTTGATTTCCCGCAATGCTGCAACATGCCCCCCCCCCCCCCCCCCGGCGCGCGCTCGCACGCGCGCGCCGCCATCCTGGGCAGCCTGCGCCATCGCCTCTGCGCCCTCGGCGAGTGGCAACCTCCCCACGTAGTTTTCCCCGCGGTCATCTCGCGGGGTCTCCGAGCTGATCGCGCGCGCCGCCGGCCCTCCCTGGCGCGGGCGCCCACCTAGCTCATGCGTCCACTGTTCACTGTCCCATTATGTCCGTGGAGAGAAATAGCACCACGTCTGTGGCCCATCCCATTAATCAAATAAAGGGCCCTACGTCGGTACATCTCGCGGTGGTTGTTCTGGTCGTAAAGAGCTTGATCTCTACTGCTATATTCGCCTTCCTCTCCTTCTTCGCTGACTCCCTTGCTGCCTGCAGTACTTCAGATACCGTTACCAAGTCCTCTTGCACCTCCACATAGACCTCCTCCTCTGCTCTCTCCTCCAGCCTCTCTCGGATTCCTCTCATTTGCTCAAACAGCTTTCTTCTCCTCCTCCTGATCTCCTCTAACGCTGGATATTCCTGCTCTTGGGAACGTCTTCCCCGCTGCCTCCCTACCCGCTTCCCTCCGCAACTCCCAGGCGGTGCCGGGCGTCGGCTCAATCATCGCCGCGCCCCACTTCACCTGGTCCTCCAGCTCCTCAGTAGAATGGTGGAGCAGATCGCCTCGCCTATCTCCCTCCATAAAACACCTCCCTGGCGCCTCGCGGTCGGGCCCTTCGGTCCTGTCGGGGGGGGGGTCAGAACCTGGCGGGGGTCGTCGCGTGGGGGGGGGGGGGCGAGACCTGCGGGGAGGTGATATTTATGCCCCCTGCTTTTTATCAGCTGTAGTCTCTTCCCCTGGTTTCTCAACGTCGTGAATCTCTGTGCGATGCCACCGGCTAAGGTGGAAATAGCAATGCGGTTTATCGTTCTTGGATCCCCTGACTGGCACCGGTAGGTCGGTCCGCAGTCCCACTGCGGAGAATCCACTCTGACTGCAAAATGTCATGAATATTCTATCGCTGTGGTTTTCTCATTCTCCCCGCAACGGCCCACTGTACTATTACCGCTCAGACTCACCACGAGAATACCTTCAGGGTTCCTGTGGTGCCCGAGCTGCGCGTTGAGGCGTCCTCCTATAATCGGTATGGTCCTCACCCCTACTTTGTCGCAGCGCTACTCTACCCATCTTATTACTCGATTTCCTATGTCTGCATATATCGCGCAGTACGTGGGCGACAGATGAAATACAAAGAGGGCCAGGTTCCCCCCTCACAACACAGTCTGACTCTTGAAGCTCTCCTTTGGATACCGCGCGGAGCTGAGTAGATCCGAAACCATCCCCCCCCCCTTCCCTGTCCTCGGGGGAGTACCCCTGTCTGGTCTGCGGCATGATGCGTTCGCGCGCACTTCGGGCGAGTCGTTCCCTCCATCGCTCGCTCCGGAACGCTGACTAGGTCGAGGAGGAAGAGGAGGTCAGGGAGGAGGAGAAGGACGGTCGCGGCCGTCGCGGGGCTGGACTACCAGAGCCGACTGCCCGAGGTCCCCGGAAAGGACGCGCGACACATCTCTGTTTCTTTTTCTTTATTGTTTTTTTTTTCTCTCTCTCTCTCTCTCTCTCTTTCTCTCTCTCTCTCTCTCTCTCTCTCTCTCGCGCAGTCCAACCATGGATCCCACAAAGCATGCGCACATAGGGGAAGGAAGAGGGGAGGGGGGCAGGGGAAGAAGGCCACCCTCCTCCGCCGCCGCCGCCGCCTGGTCCGCGGCCTGCCTGGTATTCGGCCCGGGCGCCCGCCTGGCCCACGGCCTACGTGCCGCGCGCCGCCCTGGCCCGCGCGGCGCCGCAAGGCGGGCACTGGGCGGATAGCGCGTCCAGCAGGGCCCGTGCCACGCCCATGGCCAGCCCGACGCTGATCACTCTCTTTCCCTCTCTTCCCACCCCGTTCCGCGTCCCACTTCCTCATTTTCGCGATCGTCGCTGTGACCAGAAGACCTCCAGCCCAAGGCGCTGCGAAAAAAGAACGAGGAGGCGGAAATGGGACAAGGACGAGGAAGACGATGAGGAAAAGGACACGAGAAGGAAGAATAGGAGAACGAGGACGAGGAGGAGGCCGAGGAGGAAGGGAGGGAAGTCGACGGCGAGGACGACGACGACCAGGTGGAGGAGGGGGAGGAGGAGGAGGAGGAGGAGGAGGAGGAGGAGGAGGAGGAGGAGGAGGAGGAGGAGGAGGAGGAGGAGGAGACGACGTAACCAAGGAGGTCTGTCCGACCACCGGCCTCTACCTCGGTCGACGCGGAAGCATCGACGGAGGGAGAGTGGGCCCCAGCTGGGTGGCGCTCGGGTTATTTTTCGGCCTCCCGAGGGGCGGCGCAACCCTTTGCCACTTCCGCCACCAGCAGGGCCCACAAAAAGAAGGTGCTCGAGGCAGGCCAGATCTGAAGATAGGCCTCGCAGGCGAGGGCAAAAAAGAAAAAGAGGTGGAAGAGAAGAGAGACAGGGCACTGCGAGAGACTCATCACCGCAACATGCCGCCGCCGCAGGATCTTCGAGCGATCCCCCCCCTCCCGCATCCCACGTCCCACCACCAGGCAACGCCTGGCAAATCCACACCCTCGGAATATAATGAAAACAGAGCACAGTATCGGTGAGAGGATCTCACCGTTCAAATACCAGCTTCGCGGCACCTCGAATGTCATATGCGCGCTGAGGAGGAGGAGGAGGAGGAGGAGGAGGAGGAGGAGGAGGAGGTCCACGAGGAGGAAAAGGAGGACGAGGAGGCGGCGAAGGAGAAGGGCCCCCTCCAGCCGCGGTGGCGCCTCCGGCGTCTCCGGAAGCCTCGCGGCCATGAGCCCGAGGGTCGCCGCGATACCCTGCACGGCCGCCTCCAGCCCGTCCACGATGCTCTCCTCCGTCACGGCGCCCAGCGCCTCTGTTGCACGGCGGTCTCCGACGACGGCGACGAGGGCAACGAGGAGGAGGAGGAGGAGGAGGAGGAGGAGGAGGAGGACGACGAGGGTGGCAGCGGCGCCGGCATCGTCGATTCATCCTTCCTCCTCTTCTTACTCCAAACCTTTTCCTCCCTCCGTCCTCCCCCCTCCTCAACGCTCCTCCGTCCTCCTCCATCCTCTACTGTCTTCCTCCCTCAGTCTGCGTCCTCCTCTGTCCTGCTCTGTCCGCATCCGTCCTCCTCCGTCTTCCTCCGTGATTCGCCTCCTCCTCACTGCTCTCATCCAGCCTCCTCGTGTTCCTTCGTCAATATTTCATCCCTCCTCCTTCCTCCTTCTCCTCCTTCCTCCTCATCCTTCCCTCCTCCTCCTCGTCCTCCTCCTCCTGAGGAGGAGGGTGGAGGAGAGAGGGCGGGAGCAGGAGGTGAGAAGGAAGGGAAGCAGGACGGGGGAGAAAGGAGGGACAAGGCGACGGCAAGGAGGAAGAGAGAGAGAAGGAGGGGGAAGTGGAGGAGGGAGGTAGGAGGAGGAAAGGAGAGCCATGTGGCACGTGGGCGGGGAACAATGCCTGACAAGTTGTGCAAGCCGAAGGGAAGTGCGCCTGCCCCTGAGAACAGCGAAAGGCGAGGAAGGGGGGGGTGAGTTAAGAGGAGAATCCTAGAGGCCTCGCGCGGCAATTTGAGACCCGATTTACGTCGGATCCACGTCGGATTTACGTCGGGTTCACGTCGGACTACGTCGGATTTACGTCTGATTTGCGTCGGGTTTACGTCGGATTTACGTCGGACTGACTCCGGAGCATCGCCGCGCGAGCATCGACACATAGCTTGCGGAACTGACGTGTGGACTAGATCATACTACTATTGCCGCGCGAGGCCTCCAGGATCTTCCTCATAAGGTGAGGAATACATCGTGGTTCACAAGTAAACTCGTCCGGGCCAGCTGCAAGCTAAGATGGCGCGGATGAAAGGGCTAGCAAATATGACACACTGGGCCATGTCGCTGGGGAATTGGGCCTGTCGTAGCCTCCAGGCTAATGCTGGGGATCGGCAGTACATTGGGATGGATATAAGAAGACTCATGGATTATCTGCTGTTACAGGTCGCGTTTCACATTAAACGGCCGACGACTGTGAAAAGTAAAAACACAAGGAAGCGGAAGAGGGGAGGGAGGAGGAAGAAGGAAACACTAAAAACAATCGTTCTCACAGCTGTCAAAAGCGAGCTCTGCACATAATTCTGGCGCGCTTTGCCAAGTCGGCCTCGGCCTCGTACAAGTAATGGTCCGAAGAAGACAGAAGCCAATATTTGCGATGTAGTTGCTTTGTCCATTCATGTCTGGGTCTCCAGACTGGTCGTTTGCATGAAATGGTCGCTGGTCTGGAACTGTGTGGTTGAAGCGTTAGCTGTCGCAAGGCATCTGTGTCACGGGAACGACGTACTCTCCCAAGCAACAGCAGCAACAACAACAACAACAATCAGTTTGACTGTGCGATCCTACCTGCTGGCGTGTTTCTCAACACGGAAATCCCGAAACCTCGGTACCTGCCCTCCTTGTTTTCGAACGTACCCCTTTTGGGGTAGATCTTCCTTACCTGCCACTTGCCTGTAGCGCAGCCCTTAAAACAGCAGAAGACAGGACGGATGAAAGGAGGAAGGAGGAGGATGGAGCACAAAAGAAATTAGCAGGAGGGGGGCAAGGAGCAGAAAAAAAGTGGCAAAACCAGACAGGCTGATCGGGCGGGCAGACCCTGGAGGGCGGGTCGGGAAGGCGGGCCCGGGCGGCCAGGTCGAGCAGGCGGGATGCTGGAGCGTAAGTCCTGCATGTATCTCGAAAAAGTCTCAAGAGATAGCGCGATCCCCAAGTCAATCGTGAGGAAGGCCAGAGTGAGACCATGACTCCTGAGCGTCGAGGGCGCGGCGTCTGCAGAAATTCCAAAGAAGTCCCAAGCGAGAGCGCGCTTCCTGTATACATTGTGAACAAATCCAATACGAGAGCGCGATTTGATAATAAATTGTGAAGGTGTCTCAGCCGAGAACAGTTGTTGTTGTTGTTGTTGTTGTTGTCGAGGGCCAAAGACACAGATTGAGCACAAAGACTTCCCCGTACAAAAACAAGGTGTGAGCCCCGAGGGGGGGCACTTCAATTGAAAAACACAATGTGCACCAGTGGAGCGGGATCAACAATAATCAGAGTGAGGGGGCCAACGGTCATTCACTGTCCCTGGGTGCGTGGCTGGGATAAGATTACGCGATGCGGGTGTTTGTTGTCGTTGCTGTTGTTGCTGCTCTTATTGTTGTTGTTGTTGTTGTTGTTGTTGTTGTTGTTGTTGTTGTTGTTGTTGTTGTTGTTGTTGTTAGTGTTGGTTGTTGCTGTTGTTGGTGTTGTTGTTTATGCTAGTGTTGTTTATGTGTTTGATTGTTTGTTTGTTTGCTTGCTTGCTATTGTTATTTCGCGTCGTCCCCCCCGCGACCCAGCCACGACCCCCCCACGACCCACCCCGCCACCCGCCCGCGACCCGCCCGCGACCCGCCTGCGACCCGGCCCGCGACCCACCCGCGACCCACCCGCGACCCACCCCGCGACCCACCCGCGACCGGCCCGCGACTGGCCCGCGACCCACCCGCGACCCACCCGCGACACACCCGCGACCCACCCGCGACCCGGCCCACGACCCACTTGCGACCCATCCGCTCACCACTCGCTACCCACCCGCCACCCACGTGCGACCCACCCGCGACCCAACCCGCGACCCACCCACATTGCTTTAACGAGAAATCGGCGCCTCCGGCGGGCTCGTTGAGCAATCTAAGAAAATTAAGCGCCTGCGGCGGGCTTCTGCAGAGCCTTGCGGACTGCAGTCGTCCCAGCCGCCCCCATCACTCTTATCCGTGACTGCGGGGTGCTACGGCGATTCTTGAGGAGTGAGAGTTCAACAACAACAACAACAACAACAACAACAACAACAACAACGACAACGACAACAACAACAACAACAGCAACAACGACAACGACAACGACAACAACAACAATAACAATAAAATAAAAAATATGTCTAAGACTGTTCGCTCTTACTGGAACGCGTGTCTTGCATTCCGTATACCCCAACCCTCGATACCCGCCTACTTCGTCTTCGAATGTACACCCTTTCGGGGTGAATCTCTTCCTTGTCGGCCACTGACTGAGCGACAAAGTCTCGAGCGAGAGCGCCACTCCTGGGTTCGGGGGCCTCTCTGGCCTGGGGCTCTCGGAATACCGATGGAGAAATATCGAACGGGAGCCCTTGTCGCCGTGTCCGGGCCTCCACCAACTTGCCTGAGTTTCGAGCGAGAGCGCCGTTGCTAAGCTCGGGGGCCTTTTTGGCCAGGGGCTCCCCGAGTAAATCGTGAGGAAGCCTCTCTGGCCAGGGCGCCTCGGGGTAAATTGTGAGGAAGTATCGAGCGGGAGCCGTCGTCGTCGTAGCTGGGCCTCCAAGGGCCCACATTTAGGCTGAAGCCAACGCTCGAGCGGGAGCCTCGTTTTCAGAGAAAATGTAGCCGGCGTCGAGGCGAGAGCGCGAGAAACCGTTTCCGGAGATCAGCAATAATTACTCTTTAGAAATGAATATTCAACAACAGCAACACAAATAATAACAACAACAGCAACAACAGCAACAACAATTTCTAGCACGTGGGGACACTCCGTTCTCACCAGTGCCAGGGTTTTCATAGGAGGCGGGCAATACCCCCACTTTGTGGGGGGGCCGGTTCAAGCTCTACCAAATTTCCAAACGACTCTTCGCCACCACCCACACCCAGCTTCCCGCCCTATGACGTTCGGACACTTCACTTCGTGGCATGCGGACGACCGTGGCTACTATTCAGGGCCCCGCGGCCGACGACGACGGCGTGCGCGCGCGAAGAAAAAACGAATGTGTCCCGCATGGTATTATTTGACAGGGATGATGGCCCTGGCAGGTGCGCAACCGTTGTCGCAGAAGTTCGAAAAAGTTGCTCGCAAAAGCCCGTTTGACAGAAATGTTTAAAAAGTGTTGGGTTTCCTACGAATCCGCAAGAGCGCGCGGGATGAGATTTTGACAATTTTTTTGTTGAAAAACCATTGGTTTTTTGATGTTTTTATGTTAAAATCGCTGCGAACACTAAGGTTTTGGAAGGATTTCGTCTTGCGCGCGCGAATGTCCACTTTACCTTATTTTTTGCAAGGGATTCTTGAAATTTGATTATATTAGAACAAGAAATGTCATTTTCTATTGTTTTTTGCAAGGGAAAGCGGATTACAACAAAACAACCGGATCCTGTACACACCCTCTTTTCTGAGGCTTCCTCACGAAAATGATGAAAATGTAGCTGCGGCCTAGGCGGCGCAGGGGGGGCGCGCACCAGGGGGCCCAACAATAATTATTCTTTAGAATAAATAATGTTCAATAATTCTAAGACTGTCCGCTCTTACTGGAACGCGTGTCTTGCATTCCGTATACCCCAACCCTCGGTACCCGCGCACTTCGTCTTCGATTGCACCCCCTTTCGGAATGGATCCCTCCCTCGTCGGCCACTGCCTGAAGTGCGACGAAGTCTCGAGCGAGAGCGCCGTTCCTGAAGTCGGGGGCCTCTCTGGCCTGGGACTCTCGGAATACCGATGGAAAAATATCAACGGGAGCCCTTGTCGCCGTGTCCGGGCCTCCACCAACTTGCCTGAATTGCAGGAAAAGCTCGGGCGAGAGCGCCGTTCCTGAGTTCGGGAGCCTTTTTGGCCAGGGGCTCTCAGAGTAAATCGTGAGGAAGTATCGAGCAGGAGCCCTTGTCGTCGTGGCTGGGCCTCCGCCAACTTAATTGAATCGCGAGAAAGTCTCGCGCGAAAGCGCCGTTCCTGAGTTCGGGGCCTCTCTGGACAGGGTGTCTCGGGGTAAATTGTGAGGAAGTATCGAGCGGGAGCAGTTGTTGTGTTAGCTGGGCCTCCAAGGGCCCACATTTAGGCTCAAGCCA